TTATCAAAACTTCTACTCTAGATGTAGCTATCAAACCTGGAGCGCTGCGAATGCTAACAGTGCTCTCCTTCTTTGTACAGTAGTTACTCACAGTGTTTATATACAAGTCATTTCACATATTAGTGCCTTGGAACAAAGGTGCTGGTTCAGTAAGGGATGGTGCCGTGATCGGGTCTGATCTCCCCGACGTGCTGGAGCTGATCATGGGGAAGAAGGACAAAACATATTACAGGTCACATCTGCTTTTATATCACTGTGTAAGTTTGGTTGAGTTCAAGTGTTTACCTTAAACGCTGCATTAGGTAAAGAAGCTGGAAAGGAAAAGACAGAAAGAGGCGTTTAGTAACTGTACGACTCGGTGCGTCACTAACAAGCCTGCTGCGGTGACAGAAGGCTGAGGGTTAGGGTGACACCACCAAGGATCTTCTGCAGGGTCAGGGAAGACTTTGCAACAATCACAGGTTACGGCTTCGAAAGCAAAGTGCCCCAACTCTGACCGCTGACCATGACTGCATCTCTGATGTACAGTAGCATCACTTCACTCAGTACTGTTAGACTCCTGAATGACGATGTTGTTCAGTAACAGACAACTGATCCTTATGAGTTTAACTGGACGCTGACAAACAGGGTCCAGTCAAACAGCATGTTTGCTCCACATGTTTGAGTTGCACCTGTACCTGATGTAACCTCTGATCTGTTTTACCTGAAATGATGCGTTTACATCGACTGCTCACAGCACAACAATAAAACACCTGCACTTAGACATTACATGGGCTTACAGTTCATTTCAGCATTGGTCTGAACATCTTAGTGCTTATGTTGAAGGCCCTGCATTGTGCTGGACCCTAACCCTGACTGCCTGCTTTGTTCCTGCAGGTCAAACAGCTGTTTCTGCTGCAAACAAACGTTTTTAATTTTCCTGGACTATTGTTGATCGTTATTTCATCTTTTTTCTTCTGTTTCTGTGGGTTTGAACTCTTTTCCATCATATTAAGGATGTCACAGGCAGCATAACATTTCCACGGCCTCTCCAGACCCTTTTCGTGTCTTTCACATATGCTCATGGTGAATCTATGAAAAGCACAGGGCCCCACTGGTGGACCTGCCAGTTCTGGTATTCTATGGCAAAGGCCAATCAGAGTCCACTGGAGGCCGCCCTCATGAAGTCTGTTGTTTGGTCAGAGCCATTACACAGTGGCCAGTTAGAGGTCATCCTGTTCCTCGTTGCATAAAGAAGCAAATACTGGTCCTGCTGATGGTTTACGGACGTACAGTCCTCTGTCTGCTACTGCAGACTATGCTAGCAGACTGCAAACAGTACTGACGTGATGCTATACTCTGATTAAACGTCAGCTGCTGTGCTACCAGCACAGTAAGTAGTAAATACATTAGTGTAGTTTGACCTTTGACCTCAGGTTTGCTGAATGTTGTGGGTACAACACTGACCACAGTGAAGGCAAACCTAATATTAGCATGCTTTGGTAGCACTCAGATGCAGCTACAGGGCTTCTGTGCAGTTTAGCACAACAGGAGCCACGTTTGGAGAAAGTGAGCTGTGACTGTGCCACTAACAGCACGTGTGCTGTCATCATGTCAGATTATTCATGCTTCACGTTCAATTACTGTAGCCAAACATGCTAGCTGTTAGCTAGTTCCTGCATTGTTTTTTCAGCTTCTTGGGCACGTGGATTCCTGTGTTTCTGTTCATCATGGTGTCGTTATGTGTGTGATCAAAATTATATCAGCATTTCATTTCTAACTGTGGCACTTTAAAACCAGGACAGATGGTCTGCTGCGACAGTCGCTAACGTGTTGCTAACTACAGCTAGCTAACACCGCTACACTAAAACAACAGGACATGCTGCATGGAGAGCAAAGAGCCAGGCTTTGGTTTGAAATACAGCGTGTGGATGGTGGGACAGACGTACGTGTTCAAGTGCTAACAAAGCTTTAATATGCTAGCTGCTGGTGGGGGTTCTTCTACTGCCAGTTTGTAGTAATTAGTAGTAGTTAGGTGTTAATACGAAACTGAATTATTAATTTAATCATTTATTTTTATTTTTTAGAATTGTTTTAATAAAATGTATTTGTTATAAATTCACATTTATTTTTAAATAATAATAGTGAAAAATGATGAGTTTGTGGCACATTCTTGCTTCCACACAACACTGTTAGGGTCACATGACTACCCCACAGCTGCACCTTAAACAGCACACAGATCACACAGCAAAGCTCAAGAGAAGTCTCCACATGGATCCATCACACCCACCGGTGACAAACACACATGCGGTGTGTGCGAGTGTCTCACGAGTAGTAAGCCGACGCTTTCTTGCTGGAGTACGGTGGGAGTCGGCGCATGTAGAGAGGGGGGGGCACCCTGATGAAGCATGGAGGAGGAAGAATGAGTGTGATGATGGAGCTCAATAAGCCTTGTCCCTAAACAGCAAACTGAATGTTACGCTTGATTCATGCGTCAGAGCTGCAGGATAAAACTGTGACGTTACAACAGCTATGAAAACAAACACGAGTCCCAGCAGACAGGAGTGTTTGTGTGGATGCAGGTTTATTATGGAGCATTGCAATGAAGAAATGCTGCTCTTTAGTTCACACTGCAGCCGTAAGCTGTGCTGATGTTTGCTGACTGTTACACTCACTAATACGACAGCTCTTACTGCAGAACATTTAAACGATTTACGAATGTTTTTGATGATCATTTGCTGCAAAGTGAACGACTGTGAAAAAGGGCGTTTTGCACCCAGTGTGTCGAAGTCCTGTTTGGAAGTGCAGCCACATTTATCTGACTCACTGAAGATTCACAAAGTCCTGAGAACAGCAGTCCACTTCAGTACCCTGCTCAGTGAGTCTGACCTCTGACCTCCACTCTTTCAAACAGCAACACCAATCAAAGCGCAGCGTGAACCCTCCATGAGGTCGCCTAGCTGTGCGAGTGTTTAACACCTCCCAGAGGTACGTTTGCATTTCTACTGAGGCTGGAAAACACAGAGCCATCAAACATCTGTACGGTCACATGATGTTTACAGACAAATGTCATTATGGTTGGTTATTGTTCAATGAAATGTTAAGACCTGAGAGTACTTTACACAGCAAAAAGAGACGCTCTCCATCAGTGCGTTTAACAAACCAGTCATGGCAACCAGTACGATCCCGATAACAGTGATTGGATATAACGAACTATAATTCTTTCAGACGTGCTGCTGCCATCAAATGAAACGAACCTTTGTTCTTTATAAAACTGTTCTGCTGTCACATTTATGACTTTGCAGATTGTTGTGTTCTGTTATTATTCACATTTTACACAGTTTGTCCCAAAACTGGGGAAAACTGTCTCCCAGTACTGACGGATGTGTGGACACGTACTGGCCACAGCAGCTGTTTGCAAATCGTTTCATTTACTGGTACAGATGTTGCACAGTGGATCCAGCAGAGGGCGCTCTGACTGCTGTAAGGACCAGCTGCTGGGAGCAGAGCTGTCGGTTCTCACATCAAGTATGGCTATCAGTGAATAACAAGCCCGTGTCAGTGTGGCTCGAGCTGCCAATCAGTGAAACGTGTGTGTGCAGCGTTTTCTCACCAGCTCGCCCGCACCGCCTCGATGTCGCTCACTAAGTTTTGAGCCAAACAAATTCCAAAGATCTGTGGATGAAACACAAGAAGAGTTGGAAACCCGAAGGACCCGAGAGCACGATGCGTTCGCTCGACACCCGAAGGTGCGCGGCACCGACCTGCAGCAGCGCAACGCCGATGAAGATCCCCGCCACCAGCGTGAGGTTGTCCTGCAGCCACTTCTCAAACTGGGGCACGCAGCCTTTAACGTTGATGTAGTCCTTCTGCTCGGAGTCCTGCGTGCACACAAACACGTGTCATTTCAGATATTCATGTCCCGGGGTTTGATCATGTGAGAGGAACATGACAGGAACAGAAATGACCTGTAACAACGAGTCTGTTTCCTTCTTTCTTTGCAACGCTCAGACTTCTGATACTCGGAGATCATCATTTGTATCCTCGATTACTAAAAGTGTAACAAACGTTTTTGTCACGACTGCCGTGACCTGACCCGTGACAGACGGGCCTTTAACAGCGTTATGGAGCTGATGGATGAGTGTGGGCAGCATTAACCTGAGCTGGTTAATCACATGCTACATGTATCACAGCCTTCACGTGTACACACACACTGACAGGAAGTCTGAAACACATTTAGTTTTATTATGATCCAATCTGCTGCCCTCGAACAAGAGGTCAGAGGTCATATATGACATGTTTTAAATCTTAGTATGATACCTTCTATATGTTGTTGTGAGGCCAATAAAGCATTACGATGACCCAACTCTGCGCCCCCGCACTGGTTTACCAGTTACTCACTGGTTTACCAGTTACTTACTGGTTTGGCTCGAATGTCGTAGCCACACTGAGTGTTGATCACGTCCTCCTGAAAGCAAGAAACAATCCTGGGTTTAGCCGTGAGCAGGTGGAGTCAGCTGACCACATTGGTGACAAACAAACGCCAACATCAACGACGATGTGTGAGGAAGTCGTACCGCTGGGTCCTTGGTGCAGCAGGAGAAGGGAACGCCGCACTTTTCCCGACTGGGGTTTGCATCGGTGCAGTTAAAATAGATGTTCAGGTTCCAGTCGTCTGCTCCGAAAGCACCACAGCACTCCCACTGCAGCCAGGCACAAACACTCCTGTTAATAGGACTGCACGCGATCAGCACACGCTTCAAGGTGGTCCGAGGACGGACACGTAGACAGACGCGCGTTAAAAATGGACACTATTCCTTAAATGATCCAGTTCATGTGAAATACAAACTTTCACTACAATGAACCCGTCCAGTACGTAGACTGCACCGCAGCTTTACAGCTTCATGGACACGTCACGTGTATTAGCATGCAGGCGTGACGCGGACGCTGTTACAACGACACCAATACCAGTATGATCATGTATGATGATGATGGTGTAATAACATTGTCACGTGTCAGTACTTACATATTCCTGAGTGAAATCGATGAGGTTCTGCAGGTCGATGTCGTCCCGATACGCCCGGATGTTGTTGTTGATGAACAGGTTGAGCTGGTCTTTAATCCAGTCCTTGAAGACAAACGCCAGAACTCCCGTCGTTAACTCCAGGAAGAAGATGATTCCAAGGAACACCGAGAACTACGACAGAAGAAGCAGACGCTCAGCACACTGAAGCCTGCTGCTCGTTGATGCGTGACAACGATTTGGAACATACAAACTTCAGTAGAAACGTGTTTTCCCGCAGCGCTCCGATGCATCCGGCAAAGCCCAGGATGAACATAACCCCCCCAACCACCATGAAGAGCCAGACTGGGTCCAGACCCCCCAGGTCTGTGATAGATGAGAGGTTGGACAGGACCCCCTGCAGAGAACAGACGCAGCACTCAGTCTGAGCCGGTTTGGTCAACAGGGCCACAAATACATGCATGAACTAGTTTTTCAGCGTCACTCTGAGACAGGATATTTCTAA